GGGCGGGTTTGCTTCTCGCCGGAAGATCCCAGCGTTGTTGCCGATTCTGTTGCTGATGTGGTACTTCAGGGTATGGAACTTTTTATTCCATCCTCTGTGGTGCCCATCGGAGGCAGATCCCAGCCATGGTTTGGTCGCTCCTGTAAAATAGCATCACGCTATAAGCAGGAGTGCTACCGGGCCTGGGCTGACGCATCAACGTCTCGGGATTTAAACACCAGCGCACTTAAAAAGAAGTATAATTCCGCCTCCAGGTCCTTCAAAAGCGTCATTGCCAAGGCAAGGTCTGAGCACATCGGCAGAATTGGCGAGAAGCTAGTTCGCCTTCCTTCGGGAACCCGTGCATTCTGGTCTCTCGCCAAGGCTGTCCCAGGGAACTTCTGTCAGCCATCCCTTCCATCTCTGCACAGAGAGGACGACTCACTGGCCCATGCCGCAAAAGAGAAAGCCGATCTGTTGTGCTCTCTTTTTGCGTCGAACTCGACTCTAGATGACGGGGGGAACACACCGCCGACCATCCCGCGATGTGAGTGCTCCATGCCGGATGTGCGATTTACACAGCGCTCGGTTCGCAAAGCACTCTTCTCCCTGGACGTCAGCAAGTCGAGTGGGCCCGATGGAGTCCCTCCCATTGTGCTGAAGACGTGTGCTCCGGAGTTGGCACCGGTTTTAACGCGTCTTTTCCGGTACTCCTACTCCCAAGGCGTAGTCCCGAATTCATGGAAGACAGCTTTGGTCCACCCGATCCCTAAAAAAGGCGACCGCTCAGACCCGTGCAACTACAGGCCTATCGCCATCACCTCCTTGTTCTCCAAAATAATGGAGTCCATTATAAATTGCCAGCTCATGAGGTACCTTGAGGATCACCAGCTGATCAGTGACCGTCAGTACGGTTTTCGTCGGGGTCGATCAGCAGGTGATATTCTAGTTTACTTAACTCATAGATGGGCGGAGGCAGTAGAGTCCAAGGGGGAGGCATTGGCCGTTAGTTTGGACATAGCGAAAGCCTTCGATCGGGTCTGGCACAAGGCGCTTCTTTCGAAGCTTCCTTCCTATGGGCTTCCAGAGAAATTGTGCAAATGGATCACCAGTTTCCTTGCTGATCGGAGCATCAAGGTCGTAGTAGACGGTGCATGCTCTGATTTCAAGCCTATCAACGCTGGTGTTCCACAAGGTTGCGTGCTATCACCAACGCTTTTTCTCCTGCATATCAATGATATGTTGCAAACCAGTAACATTCATTGCCATACAGACGACAGCACTGGGGATGCCTTATATACCGGCCGTGCCAATATTTCTCGGGAAAACGTCGCCGAGTACCGGGACAAACTTGTGTCTGAAGTCGAGTCTTTGCTTAACAAAGTCTCGGATTGGGCCCGACTAAATCTAGTCCAGTTCAATCCCCAGAAGACACAAGTTTGCGCGTTTACCGCTAAAAAGAACCCCTTTGTCGTATCTCCTCAGTTTCAAGGCACTCCCCTTGCTGCCTCAGCCAGTATCGGAATCCTTGGCGTCGACATATCGAACAGCGTGCAGTTTCGTGGTCACTTGGAATGGAAGGCCAAATTGGCCTCAAAAAGCTTGGCGTGCTCAGCAGAGCGAGACAGTATTTCATGCCGGCACATCGCTTGCAACTCTACAAAGCGCAAGTTCGGCCCCACATGGAATACTGTTCTCATCTCTGGGCCGGGGCACCCCAGTTCCAGCTCCTTCCACTTGACCGCATCCAGCGCAGAGCGATTCGAATCGTCGACCACCGAGTTCTTTCCGATCGGCTCGATACACTGGCACTGCGTAGGGATGTTGCATCTCTTTGCGTATTTTATCGCATCTATCACGGGGAGTGCTCTGAGGAATTATTCGGACTAATTCCAGCCGCTCAATTTCACTATCGTACATCGCGACAAAACTCGCGTTACCATCCATACCATCTGGATGATTGGCGGTCCACCACTGTGCGATTTAGAAGAAGTTTTCTCCCTCGCACAACTTCTTTGTGGAATCAATTACCACCAGCGAATTTTCCGAACCGATACGACTTAGGAACCTTCAAGAAAAGAGCTTACACTTTTCTAAAAGGCCGGCAACGCATCATTCCCCTGGTGTTGCGGTTGTTCATGGGCGGCGGTAGTCACTTACCATCAGCCGCATGCTCGTTTGCCCCCTATTCTATACAAAAAAACAGACAAACGGACAGACAGACACAAACATTAAAAATTGTATTTTTGTTATTATACTTTCATATGCATTTAGTAAAAAGCTGTAATTTTGACATTACAAACAGACACTTCAAATTTATTTATTTGTATATAGATAAACCTTTTGACTGCTCTCCACTGCGACTCAATTCGTTGTGTATGAGTACAATCTTCAGTCACAAATGGATTTTCTGGGTCCGATTAATTAGCTTTTAAAGAGACCCGTTACGTTATATGCAATTTTTAGTTAGTGAAAATTATTTTTATCGTAATTAATTCAAGACACATTTCCGATATCTAAAAACAGTGTAAAAGGTTCAAGCTTAACCCTGACAAACCTCCTAAACTGAAAACATAATTAAAATCAAGTACTCGACGTCTACTTCATAATACTGGACCAAATTGACATATTATTTGCATTTCGTTATAAGCAATTTTTAGTGAAATTTATTTTTATCGTAATTAATTCAAAACGCATTTTCGACATCCAAAATCAGTGTAAAAGGTTCAAGCTTAAGCCTAACAAGTCTCCTAAACTGTAAACATAGTTAAAACCAAGTGTAGGGACATTTTTATAGCCAACCCACACATTTCTTTTCTCATTATTTATTTATTTACTGTCCTAATTAAAATTCTACATGGACATTAGATAGGGTTATAATAAAAATGATAATAACGAAAATAATTTATGTTTGTATGCATCGGAAAGTTTATGGGCATATTTATTATTCACAGACTTCATGCTATGGAGGATTCATGATTACAACATGAAATTCTGTGAAATATCTACTACATTCACCGAAAACTAGAACTAAATCTGAAGACAAATCGCGTGAAATAAAGAAAGTATTAAGTACAAAATCACGTAAAGTAACCTAACTGTAGCAGTCCATAATCACGTCCAGCTAAAAAGAACAATCTTATATCTTCTATATAAATTGTTGTCCGTTAGTCTCGCTAAAACTCGAAAACGGCCCGACTGGTTTTAATGAAATTGTTGTGTGTGTTTGAGTGGGTTCCTGGATAGCTTAGATTCACAATTGGACATGGAGATCCAGAAATCACCCGTGCAAGACCGCTGCTGACCGCTAGTTAGTGCATAACTGTGTTTAAACCGTAGCTAAAACTAAACGTTACCAAAAATGTATGCTAAGACTGTACCAAGATTCTATCAGCTTAATTCGGTCATGTGCCTTCTGGATTAACACCGGAGCACCCGGTCAAGTCCAGCCCTGATAGCGACTCCAAAGGATGGACTGCTAAATGTCAAATTATAGCTTTCACTTTTAAGTTGAGATGACACTTCTCAATGATCTGGAGTTTTTAATATAAAGATTACACACACACAATCGGAAAAATGCCGTTACGTTCAAATTTATTGAAGCGCCTACGAATTTGTTTAAAACAAACCTCTTTTTAATTATTTTATAACGCTTAAAGAAGGCGCTCTTTAAATTTTTATTTTAGTAAGCAAATCCTTAGCACAGACGTTAAACGTAAAAAAATATGCTACACTATCATATAATAATTGTTTTTCTAAGTCATAATAGAACATTTAGGCCTATATGATAGAAAATCCTGGCGTTTTCTGTAGTTAGTTTTACTTCAAGCATCTTCGTCAGGCCATTACCAGTCCGGTGCTAGATATGGGTCTCTCTCTCAGTAGAGAGTACTTGACTATGATATTCAGGCGAATTGATAACTAATTATTTGCATCCATAATACTGAAAATTACAGTATTAGACTATATTATTTTTAATATGTAATATTTTCCGTTTAATATGTAATAAGTTATTCGGTCGATGGATCCTCTTCAGCATCACAAATAGAACTCTGTACAGAATATATTGTAGTACCCATGAATATAATTACGATTTTATAGAATCCTTAAGACAATCGAAGCATGTATAAGGATTCGTTGCGTACGCGGCATTTTAAAGTTAAAAGTTAAAGTTACAGCCTATATATGTACGTCCTACTGCTGGGCCCAGGCCTCCTCTCATTTCTGAGAAGGTTTTAATGTAAGGAAAATGTCCACCGCGCTGCCCCAATGCGTGATGGCGAGTTTCACATATTTTCGAAATATTTTATTTTTTTATTTCTCAGACATGCAGGTTTCCTCACGATGTTTTCCTTTACCGCCGAGAACTTGGTAAATCAACACTTAAAAGTGCAATTAATGCGAGCGCTAACCATCTGAGCTACCACGGCTCTCTGCACGCGGCATCTGCAACTCAATAATTAAAAATTTGTGAATTGTAAATATATTGCCTTCACCTAAGATTTGCTGTGTGGTGTTTGTGTGTGATGGCTCAAGAGAATCCATCACCATTCACATTCAGTTGTGTTGTTAGAGTCAACTAAGGAAAATGCCAGAATACTATAATAAGAATGTATGAGGCACGTGTACGTACAAGTGTACCCTCTAATACTCAGTCAGATACAGAAATTACATAACGAAACATGGAAAACAAAGTTAGTGGATTTTCACAAATGCCAGCTTCGGCCAGATTTAAAACCCAGTACCACATGGTTTACGATTAAAATGCATGTATATACAAGTATCTTTTTAAGTTTCCAAACATCAGGTATGTTTATACCTTTAACATTATTTATATGTAAATCACACCTCCTCTCATCTTCATCAGCCTGTAAAAATCCATTTCTGGACTTGGACCTTTTTAAGTACATAAACAAGATGGTTACTCCGACATGTATCGGAGCTCATGAGATCATTCGTGCATAATTTCTTTATTTATTAATATTACGGTTAATGATTTATTTAGTTTACGTCAATCAGCAATGTGGAGACGACGTGCCCTTTTGTTACTGCGTTCCGGGACGAGGGCCAAGGGGAAAATGCATGATCATCTGGACCATGTCACTGGCTTGGAAAAACGTGAACTGTTAGCCCATCTCGCCGGCGATTGCGATCCATTCCGAATAATGGCAATTAAAAAAGGTACCATTATTTTATTTTAGAGGTACGTACGTAGAAAACGTAGCATGTTATATAGTATGTGCACAGTAATGTGAGAGTGCCTTCGACAGTAACACACTGCTGGTTGAGGGCCTAACATCTAAAAATGTTGACACCACGATCACCAGGTGGGTGAAGGCGATAATCTCTAACACAAAGGCAAAAATAGCGCTGTTTAAAACTTGGATTGAGATTGCAACTACGAGAGGCTGTCAACAAGGAGGTGTATTGTCACCTTCACCAAGGAACCTTTAGGAAAAAAGCCTACAGAGACCTCATCGCTAAAATTATTTGTTTTTTTAATTTGGTAGTATTGTAAATATTCTCTAAATCCGCGTCTAAAAATTCGACTCTATTAAATTGCTTTTCACCGTCATTACAGGCTATGGAAAATCCACTGCTGAAAACAGGCTTGTTCTATAGGTTTCCTCATAAGAGGACAATTGCCATAGTCGCCACGCTTGGCAAGCGAGTTGGCACCACAGTTTTTACTACTGTAGTTTACCAGCTCATACGACACCCGGGCACTGAATGGTAGTGGATCTTTTACACCACCACTACGCGGCTAAAAATCGCAACAAGTATGTCCCTTCATTTCAGTTATAAACTCAGGGTACTATGGTTTATTCTACACAATTGATAGTGGTAGTTTTTTTTCTTCAAACGAAAGATAATCACCATTTTAAAATCACACAGACGGAACATTGTATAATAGATTAAGTTTGCGGTTATAGGTCCGGGTACTTTTGAGTGTCCAAATCTGATCCCGAGCGCTTTTGACAAGCGCATTGTCGGCTGCATTTGTCACCCAGACACAAACCACATCGAGTATATGTGGCTACATCGGGGAGAGCCAAAGCGATGCGGCTGCGGATACTGGTTTGAATTATGCCCAATTGCTCCACTGTGAAAATTTACTTCAAAAGTAATTAATTTTATAAACAATACATTTTTAGTTATATGATTTGTTACAAAAGAAAGTCACTGACACATACATATTGCGTATTATTTATTGTCTTACCTTTTCAAGGTCAAAGTAAAAGTCAAAACTTTTCATTCAACTTAGGATTGTCTCTTGTCTTCGTCTAATCTACACCGGCTTGCAAAAACAAGACATTCTAAGACATAGCCCATATGACATGACCCATAGACAATACATACATCTATACTCGATTAGGAATCCAAATGCACATGCGTTGTCACCCGTGAGGACTAAGATGGAATGCCTCGTTTGCAGTAAAAAGGGTCTCCGGTTCTCTACACTCACCATACGAAATACAGCAGCTTTAAGCTGCTATTTTACGCTGGTATTCTGTGAGAACGTAGTCCTTCCCCGATCGATCCGACCCATTCGTGATACAATTATACTACTAATATAGCTGAAGTATGGCTCTACCGCGTCTTCAAAATCTTCTTCTTCAAAGTCTTCTTCTCTGTCTGTCTGTCTGTTTGTTCCGGCTAATCTCCTAAGTTCTAGACGGCTATGCCATTTTAACGGGTAACTTAGGCTACTTATATTTTACAAAAAGAATTAGGGTTCCTAATAATATAATTAAAACCCTAAATTACACGCGGGCGAAGTCGCGGGGAACAGCAAGTCATCAATACGGTAAAAAGGAGGATCATCACCTGGAAGCGATTAACCAACAAGGTTATAGTAACCGATTAATGACGGTAAGTATATCCTAAACTGCTCAAGAAAGATTTGGCAGAAAGAGAGATTAATGATACTCGTACATTATTGTATCGCTACTTCGCCAGGCCAGGTGACGTATAAACGAAAAGCAACTTCTATACGTTCTCGCATGGGAAGGCGAACTGAGACTTTTACTACACATTGCAAACATTTATATTATAATATATTAATGTCCTTAACCGTCCACATTAACTGTCTGAAACGTATAGAAACAGCATTCGTCTTGGTTCGATTCGGGCTCATATTGAAGTAGATTTTCTATATATGCGGCCAGGATATTATTCAGTATAGAAAGTATGGGCAGATACACAAATACAGAACCAGAAAGTAGAAAAGATTCATCAATAAAACATTATAATCATCACTGTCTATAAAAGCGCACTGCTTAACATAGACCTCCTCATAGATTGACTTATAAGCGGAATATTTGCCAAAGCTGCCAAGCTCGGTAAGTGTGTTGTTTATATTTTTATTTTATTTTTTATAGTTTTTATTTTTATTGTCTAGTTGTTATTAGGAATATGCTGCTGCCCATCGCCTGGATTTTTTCCCTCTGTTTCCTCTCACGACAACCACGGTACGAAATGGTGTAGTGAATATTTTCACATTGCCACTAAACGGCTGATTTAACTCCTTAAACTTTAAAAAAAAGGTTTACTAATAACTAATAAGGGCAATAAAATATCAGTGTTAGGGTGTTACCACAATCAGTCGATTGTCGATTGATGTCATTTATCGACATGGATCGAAGTCGATCGATTGATACTGGTCGATAAAACGTTGTTCAGTTATCGATCCATTAATTAATGTTTAATGAATAGAATAGAATAATTTTTTATTCAATATAGATCACATGTGTAATTCTTATTGAAAATCATTTTTTACTTTACCACTGGTTCGAAAAAAACCTCTGTTAAAATGTTTTAGCATTTGTGTAAGTTATTTTGTTAATTTTCTATCACGATGCTAATAATGTATCTAAATGCGTAAACAAAACAAAATAATAAATGTAAAATAAATCTGTCACTAATATCCTCCAAACCGCATTTCGGTCACGGTGGCCATTCTCAACAGAGACTACTCATTTACACAGAACAGGATTATAGTGCAGTAGTGTGTGTGCAAACACAGATGCATTCTCTATTCCCTCACTAGTAGTCGCAGTGAGACGATAATGCAACACGACCGGAAATAGAACGTGTGCAGGACCATCGAATCTCTTTTTGAGACATGGGTGTGAAACACCGCTAACTTCCTGATTCCAAACTATGACTGAGAATTTCTTGGCAGAAATGACCGGGATTCTAACCCGGGATCACATGATCAGCAGCCGCACTTGCAATCATTAGGCCAACGAGGCAATCAAGTAATCTCTAACCTAGTCTGTCACTAATTATGTAACAAATTAAATTAATAGCAGTTCCAGGGAATTAGACTTTGAGACTCCCATAACATAGTATTTTAATGTAAATTCCTTGTTACTCGTACTTATCTGAAGAACAGACCTTTGTGTATTAGCGTTATGGATGGCGCATAATGTTGTCGTGGGCAAGTAAGGTCGTAGAGAGTCCGCTGGCCGACCCACTTCTTCGAATAGCCTTGAAGTGGACGGTGCACCACTTCACTCCTTAGCATTGCTTCTCTATCCTTTTTGTTTTATTAGATATTATAAGTTTAAAATTTTAGCATCACAACATTTTTTTAAACGAATACTAAAAATAAAGGAAACTAGCAAAACTATTTTATACCACTAGAATAAAATAGAATAGAATGATTTTTATTCAATATGGATTATTACATAATACTTATTGAAAGTCATTATTTTATTTACCACTGGTTCGGAAAATACCTCTGTCCTGGAAAGAACCAGCAAGAAACCCTAAAAGTATATATAAAGAAATAGATGAAAGTGAGCTACACTTCAATCATAAGAGATTGTTACAACGTCAATCGTAAGCATTAAAACTTTCGAGACTAATTATCAACATATGACTCTAAGATTTCATATAATCGGATGGATGTTAAAAAGAATTATAGGAAAATCAAAGCCAATTTTTAAGTTAAAATTTTATTATTCTTAAACAAATTTTAAATTACTAAAAACTGTTTAATTATTTACTAAATAATATCACAATAGGAACAAGGACAAAAAAATTATTTCTCTTAATTTTATATTCTGTTCGATTAGTAAGTTTTATTCGGTATAAAATATTCCCCTTTATTAAAATCTGGTTTATCCGGCTCAATTTTGCTGTCTGGTGTAAAGTATAAACGACTGTACTTATTAGCTGATGGTGAATATGTAGATTGTCGCAATTTATTTTTATTTTGACAATAAGGAATCGGGGCTAAACGTTCAATAAATATTGGCGCGTGATGGTTGGTGATTTTGTGTACCTTGTGTTTGACAATTTGAGGCATTGCCACGGGTTCTTTGTGAATCACAGCCTTAAATCCGGTCTTGGGCCCAGCAGTGTATTTGACAGTGCGCCTTGTGCCATCAGGGTCGATGAGGGAATATGATCCGCTGACAGTGTCTCCTTGTCTTATTTCGTGCAGAGTTTTTGCGTCGCCAGTAGCAAGATCTATGACGTTATACGAATAATTGTACTCTGTGCTCGTCGGTGGATAGTCTGTTACTATTATACTCACCACCGCTGGAACTGTGCAGACACATAACAACACCTGTAATATAGACATTGTTAAACTTTATTTTGATAAAAATCACACAATATACACTGATATTTTAATAAAATAATAAAGGGTCGATTTTACTCTTAACATAATTATTGTTAACTGGTTCTTTAATATAGGCTTCAAACTAAAATGGCGCACGTAACACCGATGTTGGTCGTATTTATAGACGCCTGCATTCACTCGAATGTTCCGTGTTGCACACTATGCTTGTATTGTCACAGATTAAGGCATCTGTAATTAATCTGAGCTTAATACGTTCATGTGCTTTGTTTATTTATTCGTAAACTTGACGGTTAAATATGCCAAAAAAAAACAATATAACATGCCAAGTAAATTATAGGCCGCTAAGTATTTTATTACAGTCCCTGGAGTGTCATCTGTTACCTTCTTTATTTTGAAGTTGTTGCAGGTGTTTAATAGGTGTAAAATAATAAAGTTAAGGAATATTTAAAAAAGGCTTTGATGATGCAGCGTGATCATATGAACGTACACTTAAGGGAAATGAGAAATAGAAGTAGTTCAAGTTTTGTATATTATTATATGCAATGAATTATCACTGTGCCAAGTGCGATACACATTTGCGATATTTCCTGTAATACGTAACAACTGATGTAATGTTATGTCTTACCGACACGAAGCTAGCAAGCCGATGGGAAACGTTTCAATATAGTAAACGTAGAAGTTAAGGTATCGTCTCTGTTGATTTGCGATTGTCCCAGAATATTACGTACCTTTCCTGTTACTATTGATTTTTTGTTTTGCACACATTGCAAACTTTATGCCAAAGGCCATTCTCTCCCATTCAATCATAAGGCAAATTAAATATAAAAGAGCTGGTGCGGCAATAAATCTAATTAAAAATAAAAGTATAATGAAAAAGATAAATGCTATATAATTACACCTGTATAAAACAGAGAATTGATGAATTTCTTGCAAAATATTACAATGGACTTGGCAAAAATAATTTTAACAACAAATATGTGGAATGGGTACTAAAATAACGCCGGGCCTAGAACTAAAAGTTGCATTTTACTTAATATCGTGCTTTACGAAACATGCGGAAATCCTTTTACGATTAATACTAGTGTAAAATACGAGTAGCAGCTTAATGCTGCTGTGTTGCGTATAGTGAATGTATAGAACCGGAGACCCTTTCTACTGAAAACGAGGCATACCATCTTAGTTCTCATGAGTGACAATGCATTTTAACCAATGAAGTTCCTTCAATAGCACAATCTGTTGTTGTGCATGACAAATGCCTTCTTCTTTGTTCTTTAGTATTAAATTATTAAATAAATAAAAAATATGTATTGCGTAAAAGTTCTAAGATGAATTTTGTAAATAGTTTGTATAAACTTTTATGTTGTATATTTTACTCCAAAGAAAGTCCCGCTAGGTTTTTTTATTGGTTTTCCCAGACAGAGTTTTTTTTCCGAACCAGTGGTAAAAGTAAAAAATGACTTTGAAAAGTTAAATACATTTAATATATATTGAATAAAAATTGTTCTATTCTATTCTTACTGGGTTCGGAGAATACCATACACTAGGAAAGGAACTGGAAAATGATGACGATCGTTTTTTTTCTGTTCTTTCTTATGTCAAACTTTCGATGTTTTGCGGGAATAACTCATTATATTTTACGTATTCATGAATTCATTTACCTTTTAAATTATAAGGTTTGACAGTATTTCTACCAAACTTTCTTAAGTCGGAGTTTTGGATGTATGATTTATGTTGCAAACAAATACATGAATACAATGTGTTATTTCTGCAATATATAAAATCATGTCTCCTATCTGAAAGTAACTGGGCTCGCTGGGATAAAAATACAAAAAAATACTTTTTACTTCTAAGCGTGTGATTGCATACGATAAGTGTGCTTCTAATGCATAGTTTTACGTACAACATCAAGAGTTCAGATGTCATAATTCGTTGCATACGTCGCGTACGTGGGACCAGTCTGTCTTCTACCATAACAATAATTTCACGCAACGTTCCAACAATAACTATTATTATTAAATTACCCTATTCGTTCCATAGTACAAAAGACTTCAACGCGCAGATATATTTTGTCAATTATTTTAGGGCTCTTTAACTTTTAGGGTTCCGTACACCACTCAAAATCAAAACGATATCAGAAGTTATAGGATCACTTTATTGACTGTGCGTCTGTTCGTCTGTCAAGGCCCTTTTTCTCAGGAACGAGTAAAGGTACTCGTATCAAGCATAAATCATAATAACTAATACTAAGGTTTACATTCCCTTCGAGGTGTAAACTATTCAAGCTTTCAAGTTAAAGCAATCAAACGAGACGGCCATTTATTACATAATTAAAAGAATGGCGTGTTATCTGCTCTCCTTTTTTTTTCTGTGTTTATTAGTTCTATTACTTCGCGAATTTTTTCTCTCTACCATTTATACGTAGATGATCTCCAAATTTACTCCACTCCAGATTCTATTCAATGCCTAATGACATCATTCTTGGTAGATTGATTTGCAACCGCAAATGCACATAAAATATCATTAGAAAGACGCTGCTGCCCTTTTACTGGCTGGCTTCCCTCTGTCGCCTCTTACGACACCTACGGGATGACATGGGGTAGTGAATATTCTTACACTGCACCGCAAGTACACGGCTATTATACATATAGCCTATAATATGTATTTATGCATATTTTTTGTAAAAGTATTGCCCTTCACCAAGAAGTTGTGCTTTAAGTATATTGTAGTTTGGGGTAAGTGTTTATTAATATGCATGCAATAAAAAGTATAAATAAAATAAATAAATAAATAAAATATCTTAACACTCGCAAACTCAAAAATGTTTTTTAGTAATTCAATGCATAAAAAGATTTTTGCAATTACAATCTTATAATTGCAACGCTGCAGCTATATTAGTAGTATAGTTGTAGCACGAATGGGTCGGCTCAACCGGGGAAGGACCATGCTCTCACAGAATACCAGCGTCAAATAGCAGTTTAACACTGCTGTGTTTCGTATGGTGAGTGTAGAGAACCGGAGACCCTTTTTACTGGAAAAGAGGCATTCCATCTTAGTCCTCACGAGTGACAACGCATCTACGTTTGGATTCGCAAACGAAGATAAATGTAGATGTCCATGGGCCATAGCATCCACTTACCATCAGGTGGACTGTGTGCTCGTTTGTCACTCGATCCTATAAAAAAAAAATTTGCATTTGGAACATCGACTGTGATTTGGGAGTGATATATGAGAGAACGTGCGATATATGGAGGGAAGCATCTTACACTGTGGTTAGCAGTAAAGAATCACGTCTCAGTTCCATATATCATAAGTCTACGCTCGAAATTGTTGATGAGTAGGTTTACTTACTTACTTAGGACAAATCATGCGACTAGGTAAATCCAACTTCAACCAAAAGATCAAATGACAGATCGATCCCGGCTAAGCAACGTTAAGAAGATTAAGGAAACATTAAAACAACAGTGTACAATCATTGTATATTTGTCAGTGATAACTTATGAAACAGAGACTAGCATCGTAGTACACTACATAGTAATGATTACAGTATCCTTTTTCACCAGCCTAGAGAAGTTCACTGCTGAACATTGGCTTCCCCGTTGTAAAAAATCTTTTAAATTCTAAATGCGTAGTAATCCATTCTTGTTGGAAGAAGAGTAATGTGAACAAAAATCTATTATTAAAATATATTGAATATCTTAATAACTTAAATGTATATGAAATTATCATGTTTACATTGCCTTATATACATACATGGGTGGCCACAGGAAAATAATCCAAGACATGTTTTAAATTTGTTAGTGAAGAACTTGACATATAATAATAATTTAAATTTTACATTTAATTGTAAGAATTATAATTATAAATTTGATGTGATTGACATAAATAATTTAATTAAGAAGTTTTTGACTGGAGATAGGTAATACCTATCCAAGTACAGTATAAGACTGATAGCAAATGTGCTATCTTATTATTTATATTTTAACTCGGACATGGATTTGGCTACCCAGAAATCTGCTTCTATTGAGCAGTATAATGACTTTACATTGAATTTGGGATCAGTTCCAATTAATTTAAATTAGAAAATGAGACAATATAGGTAATTTCTAGCAATCATAGTAAAAATTTAAATTATCCAGAATATAGCCTACAAATAGTTAATTGTATAATTTCTCATAAAAACAATCATAAATATTGTATACACCTGGTGCATGAAAATATGCGAGGCATACTGGGCAAAGAATTAGATATGGAATTGTTTTTAAATAGTAACTACATACATATTTTTTTATAACTGAACATTGCTTAGAAGATTATAATTACCATTAATATGTTTAATTTCAGTAAACACGAGGTGGTCAGTTGCTTTAACAGAAAAAAATATTAACGCGGTGGCTCCTTAATATTAGATAATAAAGAACGTAAGGATATTGTGAGCCTCTCTGTTGAGCGTACTGTAGAAATGGCATGTGTTGAGTTCGAGCACTTCATTATTGTCAGTTTTTACAGACCCCCACATTCTATGTATGATTGTTTTGAAAAAATAATGGAGGAAGTTTTGCTTAAACTTAATAAACTAAATAAATCTGTCGTCGTGTGTGGAGACTTTAATATCAATCTCCTTGAAACTTCTTCCATGAGTATTAAGTTTAGATCTTTACTCTAATCATACAACCTTGTTAATTTGTTCTTTGAGCCAACACAAGCAGGGATCGTGGGGAAATCCTCATGGATACCTTCCTCTGCGGGGGCAACAAAAGGTTATGCCGGACTCCTACCGGCTAAAACCCCACGGTGGTCACCATCAGCGTATAAGAGGGGTCCCGGGATCTCCGTTCGGAACGCAAACGGGGCCCCTCCATCACTTTGCTACACTAATAGCACGTCCCAGGGGCAGTACTTTCTGCCCCCAGCACCCTCGCAGTGCTTTCACGATGTCTCGAGACCACTTCCAAGCCATCGTCCTCCTCGGGGGTTACATAACTAGGCGCTCGAAGCCCCCG